TAATTAAAACAATTATATATTCAAACATTTTGTGAACAAATTAATGATTGTTGATGAAAATAAACAAAATGAAGTTTAACTTGTTTAATGTGATATTGCTGATGTGTTTAATAATTAATAATTATATTTTAGTTATCAAAATCATTAAACATATGGAATATTATAATTAATTATTAAACACTTTACTTTCTATTACCGTATTACCCCGCTTATAAGTGCATGCACTTATATGTAAGTTTTCACACAAGGGGTGCACCTATATCCGGATATAGGTGCGGTAGTTTTGGCACATTTTTTACTTTTAATTGAAATTTATATATACCTTGAAATAAAAGTCGTATGACTTGTTATTAAATTTTAAATTTTTACATTTTCTTATCTATTGGTGCGTTTCATGAATAATGGGTACATTACTGTGAAATATCTCATATAATGAATATGAATTAATTCAAATAATCAGTGAATCAATTGATAAATTGAATATAAATATAGAAATCAGTGATAAAAGTTTTACAAAACAAAGAAAGAAATCAAAATGAAGATTTACTTTAAATTATAACATAATGTATCATCTACCCATTAATTTATTAAATTTTTATAAATAATTTTGACAAATAAATATTGACGCACTTATATGTGATTTTTACACAAGGGGTGCACTTATATCCGGATATAGGTGCGGTAGTTTTGGTGACATGCAAAANTTTTTAATTAATGAATTAGAGTTTAGTTTAAAATTTGTTATTTTCACTCGTTAATCGTGACATGCAAAATCTGTGAAATTCACTTATAAGTGCATGCACTTATAAGCGGGGTAATACGGTACTTGACTTTATTATTACGTATTATTAATTATCAAATATTGCTTTCATTTGACGCAATTTGACTTCTCTGCCATTAGTGTCCAAACAATTAATAAATTTTTACTAAATGGTAATTTTCAAATTAGGCCAAGAGTGCACACGGGAATTATTGTTATAAATCGAAATTACACTCTGTACCACAGTACTTGCAGTCACCACTTTTATCGGGAAAAATTTGAATATCAGATCTTGTATTTTATGAATAAATATATCATATTGTAATATTTAGTCAGCTTCGCTTCCAAACCTTAACTTATATAAACCTGGAATCACGTCTTCAGCATCTGTCGTTCCCTCCATACTTCACTCGTACACACTTTTACTCAATATAATTAAACACTATTTTATTTAATAACTTTTAAGGCAAGCGCTCGGTTACACGCTCTACGCAATTCTCTTCTAAGAATAGCAAGTATTCTGTAGTTAAAGGGTTTAGGGTTTGACGTTAATAGGCGTACCTGTCCATTTAAAGACTGTTATGCTTTCCTGACGTATACGTTCCAGGGTTAATAGTATCGTAATATTCTACTGAAGTGAATCATAGATTACATTAATTATATAAGAATTTCAATAATGTTTTTATAACAACTGTAATGCAATACTTAAATTCAAACATTGTTTTATAATTATAAATAACTCATTGTTAGCAATCATTATGATTTTGGCATTACTCGAAATAACATTAAACATTGAATTGTGATTAAGATTGTGACATATTTTATGAGATATACTTTAAGACTGTAAATAAATAAGACTTAAGATTTACGTTCTACGATCTAATAACATCCCGTACGCCATCGCAATCTTATGGACAGCCTCTCATGTGCCGAGCTTAACATTTTCAGTCATAATCCAACGGATGGTAGCTTCGCGCCACTGATCGGTCAAACAAACACTTGAACTAAATGTCTGAACGCACGGTTCCTCTCGTACTGAACGGATTCCCATAGCAGCGACTGGTAAATTTAGTATCAGTAGGGTAAATAATAACTACTCGCGGTCGTCGAAGCGAGTGCTCATTATAGCGTATTCAAGACTAATTGTTACATACATTTACAATTACCCACAAACCGTACCGCAATGGTACCCAAACCGTTGTAAACAATTGTAAAAATTAAAATAATACATCTTTAAACTAAACATACAGCAAAAACACAATAAAATTTTGCTGTAAAATACTGTTAAAACACATATTACATCCAGTATATTATACATTATCAAATACGATTACCCACATACGTAATTTTATATATACAGTCCAACTTCTCTATAATGAACGGTCAGTTTCACGACAAAAGTGTTCATTAGAGGTAGGGTTCATCCAAGGAAGGTTCGAGTGAAAATGTATTTAACGATAATACTATGCCACATCAAGTTCAAATATGATTTTTCTAAATTAAGAAATAAACTACATACATATTATTACTCCTAAAACTTAACAACTAAAACTTATATTTTCTATATAAACTATTGAACAATACAATGAATCATGTTTGAAATCGATGTGGCATAGTATGATAGTATCACATATAATGTCATTTTATACTCTATGTCCCCAAAGTCGCCATCTTTTTTTTTTACCTTGAGTAGAGTGCTACAATGTTTTGATATATATTACAAAACTGTATATATAAAGGGTTCAATGCATTGAAATTTTGGGAAAACCTTGTAGCACTCTACTCAAAGTAAGAAAGATGGCGACTTTGGGGACGTAGGTTTTATACGGTTATATACAGTATATGTGAATACTTGACGACGCATTGTATGGATGCGCTGGTGATAACACAACTGGCTATAATTTGGTTGTGTCTGGCAATCATTACGAGATAACTAATTATGATTGATATTTCATTAGAATTTGAATTTTAAAATGAATGATCCGATGGTTGTATTGTTTACTTAATAACGACAAAATCCAATGTCAATGTTATTTAAACGTCTCGATATTTGCATAACTATTGTTTATGTTATTATTAATTTTACAATTGCTTATATGTTACCAATTTTGCGCTCAGCATAAAAAACCCAATGAATTGCATAAAGATCTGAAATTTTGTTAAAGATAATTTAATCATTTGGTCTCAAACTGATTCAACTTGTATTATAAATGACAATTAATAATAAATGGATGAATAAATACTTCTAAAACATCACTTCTAGTGATAACGTATTGATTACTACACGAAAAACCAATCAATTTGTTCTTATCACTCAATATCTCCATTAAGTTCGTTAACTGTTTTAGAAATATAGAAATAATTTTGACAAATAACACAGTATGTAATATTTAATAATTACCTTAAACTTAGATTTCCATAGTAATGAACCGTTGTATTTATTACAAAATTTAAACAAATGTTTATAAGTTTTACTTATATTATAATTAATATCTGATAATATTATAGTTAGAGCAAAATATGATGCAAATGTTGAAATGAAAAATAATATTCTTATTATTTGAATCAACAAAATGTTCTTTTCGTATAACATTATATACAAAAGCATTGAATTAATCGGTAATATAGTGTACGTTATAATGAAATAAATGTTTCTCCAAAATCTGTTATATATTTCGATATCCAAACAGAGTTTGTTTAGATTTGATTGTAATTTATGAGTATATTTTACTTTTAAAAACAGAATATTTGATAAATTAAAACAATCGTTGATATTCTCAATGAATCGGTATTTAAAATAAAAGCATACAATGAAATAATAATATAATGTATAAATAATAGTTGGATATATATTAATTGCCATTATGGCAGTTACAATAACACTAATAATACCATATATAATGTTAGTATTATTTGCATATGAAATTATTATCAAGAACATAAAACACAATATAAACATAAGATATAAGCATAATTTAATTAATTTTTTAATTAATAAAACTCGATTTATAAATCTTTTTGTCAAATTTTTATTATTTAAACCGATTGATTCAAATGCTAGATAACCGTTAATAGCATAGATAATATCAAACCACTTATAATCACTTATATTTTGCGTATTAATTATCATTATTATTGATAGACATAATATTAATATAATTATAAGTAATATGTATGAGATATTATCCATAACTTGCATATATTGGATGAGATCGAAATAATATTCAGGAAATTTCACGTTTAGCTGACTTTTATATGCATAAAATGCGTAACGAATTATATTTAATACTAATAATAAAGTAACTGTAAATACTTTAATGTATTGTTTAAGCCGTTGTTTTGTACAAACAATTGTGTGATTATTAAAATCATATCTAAAAAATATCCATAATTTATATAACGGTTCGCTTATATCCTCACCAATTGACAAATCCATTGCGAATATATTTATCAATTTATTCAATATCTAATTACTTCTAACACTCTAATCACAGTCAATCTAATATCACTCAAATTATTAACAATAATTATATTTTAAAGATAATTTAAATGTGATATGTTCATAGATTGAGATTACCAAAATGGTATTTAAATCGAACTTTGAAAATATTATTAGGAATTATTAAATATTATTATATATTCTCTAGCAATATTATTTACTACGTTTTAAATATTTAAAGCTATTAAAGATCCAATTATTATAACAAATGAGACAACATATCGAATTAATACGTATAAACATAGTGTTAGTCTCTCACTGCGTGCATAATCAGGCAAACTTGGGCATTATATGGCAACAGACTTTATAGTCGATTTATTATCACCTATATGCAGTCACATATATAGTGACCAACTACTGCGAGTGGTGGATTGTTTAATTTAATTGATTTACTTATCTAAATTTAAATTTTGCATAAAATCATGTCAAATAATTTTTGTCAAATTCTCAATCACTCTCAATGACACACTGACTGCCACTTATTTTTTTATCTCTCATTTTGAGAACTTTTTTGGCAATATTTTGGAAACAATAGTAATGGCATTTGTGATTAATGTTTGAAACATTTCCAAAATAAAACAACTACTGTATAATGTTTAGTTAAAAACTTTCTTATACGTAAAATGCGATTTACTGCGTATAAGAATAAATTTTAAAAAATGATTTTTTAACATTTAGATCAATAAATTATAATTAATCGTTTTTATCATAACATTTTCATAAATATGCACATTATTCAAAATGCAAGTTATTTACATTTTGAATTTGTTTTGTTGTATTTTAAGTTCAATGATATTGATTTTTTAACTATAAATATGACAATTATTTAAAACCACATTTGTATTTTTAAATGAAACAGCAAAGTTTTGAAATAATTTATAATTATAATTAATGTTGATTTTAATGATTAAAATCATACTTGGATTGACATTTAATCATTTATTATAATGTAAACTTATTACATTTTTTTTAACGAAATTGGGAAACTTAATTTTATTGAAAATATTCAAATAGTTGGACTGAATCTCATTGCCATAAGTTTGTAGGCTCATCAATGAATAGCTAATTATCAGTATATTAGTAATCACTGACATGTATATTAAGCTGATTAGTCGATATTTGTATGTATTAATTACTGTATATTAATTATCAGTCAAACTATTGTGATTCACATCATAGGGTTACCAGATGTCCATTTTTGTAATGGATTGTTTATTTTTGAGCTACCTTGTCCATTCTCATTGCAGTACCAGAAATGGACATTTTTATCAATATATAGTTTTCTCAAAAATTTTTAAATGTTTCACTAAAAATTAAGTAATTTTTAATATTTAAATAATTTATTAATTATATTCAAAGAGTTATGACTATTCCTATGCGACGCATATAGTAGTATTTTTTCTTTTTAAAGTTATGCAATCATTTGGTGTGTACGTGACCTTCACTACAGCAATATGATTGGCTGTTAGACTTGTGTGTGAGTTGAGTAGTGTCTCACAGCCAATCATATTGCTGTATTGTACGTCACTGTACGTCACGTGATTATTATATAACTTCAAAAAGTAAAAATTCTCACTTTATAGACTGATGATAAATATAGTATTGTGTTAGGTTAAGTAAATCTGAAATTTGTATAAAAAATCATTTTTATATTAGTTGTATTGATTATAAAAATTAATTGAAAGCTAATGGAAACTTATTGAAATCTGTCAACTCATCTCAATATATCAATAAATACTTAATTTTTACATAACAATATTTGTCCATTTTTGGTCCATTTTTCCGGACCATGATTTTATAAGAGTCCATTTTTTATGTAGAATGATCTGGTAAGTCTAATTGTAAACTTAAAATCAAATGCCTGCTATATAAGAGCTGTGTTTAATGTAAAATATTAACAGAGAGTTAACAGCAGTTAACAGTATTGTATGGAGTTTTAACATTATAGTACATTATTATATCATGAACTTTAATTCACTTAATTGAATTATCAATTTAGAGAAATTTTAATGTGGATCATTATCTATTATTTTTATAAGAAATTAATATTTACAATCTAATTTAATAGAATTTTAAGTTAATGTGAAAAATCAAAACAAAATACATGTATACACACAAAATGTAGTGTTTGACCCGACATTGTGCCAAAACTATGTGCAAAATGCACTCGACTTATATAAAAAGGTAATACTGGTATAAAATATTGTTACATCAATGTAAACTAACCGTGATAATTTATATTTTTGAAGACACTGGAGGTGTGCCCAAACATGGATAGGGCCGGTATAGTGTTTCCCAAAGTTATGGCTGCAGAGAAGGAGGACAGCGCCGATCAGTCCATCGCATCCGTAGCCAACTCTAGCCTTACTAAAGCCATGGGCCCTAAAAACCCCCGGTTTTCATTGAGTAAAATTATGACAAACGCCGGCTATTATGTGAAGCAATCGCTAGGGCTGTCCACCCGTACCGGCATTGGTGTTAGTGATGGTGTGTGCAATGACGGGGTAAAGGCAGCTGCCGTACAACCAGAGCCTCAATCTACACCTCCTGTACCAACACTATCGGCAGAACCCACACCAATAGCCTCGCCATTAGAGCCGGGCTCTCACCCCTCGGCGCCCATCAACTATCTGGACGTTGACCTGAATGTCGACACTAGAGTGACCAACCGTGCAGGTTTGGCCTGTACAGTACAGGTTTTGGACAAACTGTTCAGTGTTCAGGCGAGGATCTCGCCTGTACTATACAATGTCCAGGCGAGAAATTGATAAAAATTAGATCAAAGTTTTATAATATTAGAACAAATTTATTGCATTTCAATCTAAAATACGCAAAATTTTTAAATTTTGTCAATTTGAAGTTGAAATATGTTAATATTTTGAATTTAAATTAAGTTATCTATACTGTACAGGATTATGGTGTGTTGTTTGTACACTTTAGGACATTATATAATTATGTTCTGTAAGAAAAATTAGTGTCCAGGTGAGCGTACAGGCAAGTTTACTAAAATGTACAGGAATGTCTCGGGATTTATAATGAAAGTATAGAAAATGTACAGGTTTCTCATTTTTTGAGTTGGTCACTCTAGTCGACACATTTACCACAACCGCCAGTTCCCCATACATGCCGTACATTACAGTAACCGTATGTGTGGTCGACGTATGGGTGACTTGTGTGCGGTTCGTTCGCGTTGATTACCTGGCCGTCATGTGATTAATGCAAATATTGAGTACCGGTGCCGACGATCCGGACGTTATCGTCAAACAAATGGCCAAAAGTGGTTTCGATGGTTGGGATTACACAAAGTGTTTGAATTACTTTTACAAGGCGTTAGAATTTTATATAAAGGTATTTTTGTATTTTAAAATTAGCTATATAACTTTATTTATTTGCTATTAATTATTAAATGATAATAATTTTTCTTTTTGCGATCAGACTTTGGCGAACTGTCCAAACCGGGTGACGGCGGCCACCGTTTACCCCCTGTTCAACACAATGCACTCATTTGTACCCTATTTTCTCATGACTGCCAAAAACTTAGCGAAACTCAACGAATTGAAGCGATTGTTTGCGGAGAAATGCGGCGAATGTTTGGACACAACTACCGATACCTGTGTTGTTATAAAAAGACATCTCCTGTCCTAATTTGGAGCAGAATAGCCGTCAAAACTGTATTGACAGGTAAATTGACAAAATTCTGAACGGTTCTACGACTGCACCTCACACCGACCACTTACTACAACTAATTGCACTAATATTTAGATAAAAAATTTTGTAAAAATAAAATATAACAAATTAATATGTTATTATAAAATTTAAAATATAACAATCTGGTTCCCAAATGCTATAAATGACTTATTTATTTTATTTCATTATATTATTTCAATTCATATATTCATTTCATTTAAAATTCAACACATATTGCCCATGTAATACATAAAATGAATAAGAATGCATTAAAATATCGCCCTCTATCGTCAAAAAATGTCAAATAAAAATATTTTTTTCAAAAAAAAATGAAAAATTTAAGTGCCCTATAGTGACCTTTATATTTCATTTGGGTCAACTTTCAATTTTTGTCATAGAAAAGTATCGTTTTTCTATTACAATCAATGTATTTTCAATTAAATGTAATATAATTCAAAATATGCACTTTAATTTTCATTGAAATATATGGGGTCGACTATTTTGCCCCAAATTATGCCCATCCATAGGGCTAATTAATAAGATTTATTTTTGTTTCTGTATTATATTAGTAATAAAATGTGTATAAATATTATAAAATGTTGCCAAACAAATTCAAGGCAATAATTTCAAGAACAGTATGTAATACTAACCCCCTACCCACCCAACCATAGGTCAGAAATATATTTTATTTTTGGGTTTTGTCCTAATTGTGAATTTATTATTAATTTTGCACACGGGTTGCTAAATTACATCATTAAAATTGTTTATTTCAATGATTTATGTCATAATTGGCAACTTTTTGTTGAAATAATGCCTAAAATACACTTAATTTGAAGGTTTTCTTGGAATTGTTGCCCAAAATAAATTCAATTTGAAGGTGAAGTTTTAGGACATTTATAGTGCAAACCTTGAAATTAGGTATAAAAGGACCCATAGTTTTTCACAATCATTCAATAGATTTATGGCAAGACATATTACTGTTTAGCTAAAACCCTAATGTAAGTATTGTTTATTTTATATGTGTATTATTTATTAATATTTAATTTGTATTTACTAGATGTCACACAAGTCATTTATATCGTCATTTTTGGACACAGAGGCTGCAGAGGTGACTGTTGCCCAATCATCCTCAAGCGACGGGTCAGATGATGAGATCCAGTTTGTTAAAGAGCCTGAAGTACTTCCAAAGGGAAAAGGGAAAGGAAAGCGAAAAAAAAGCGCTGAAAACGAAAAAGAATCGACCAGTGGCAACGAAAGCCCTCAACCATCGACCAGTAGTTACATAAAACCTTATGTAATTCCTAAAACAGCAAAAAAGTCCACTGGTGAGAAACCGCCGGCAAAAAAGTCTAAGCCTAAGCAATCGACAAAGCCTGTAGCAAAGCCTGTGCTGACAGCAGATGGTGCGATCAAGGTTAGCGTGCCTGAGTCTACCGGCTGGAGTGATCAACCTCTCAATCCAAAATTTCAAATAGGTATTTAAATATTATTTGTATATTTTCATTGTAATTAATAATGTGGTTAAAGGAAATACTGGTATGGGTTTACGTGACAGAACTTTGGTGCTATACAAGTACCGTGATGGCTTGCCCAATTTGGGTTTTAATTTTATTGTTCCAAAGGATTTTGTCCCAAAATTCTATGAAACATTATCAATTATGCTCCATGAGCACAATATTGTTAAACGCAAAAATGGTTCAAAATAAATTATGATTTGTTTAATGTATTTTATTTCATTATATTTTTATACTACTTTTAAACTAAATAAAGTATTATATTCTAATTATATTATAATTTCTTATTGTCAAAAATGTATGATGCATTAAATGTATGATGCCTTTCATAACATATTATTTTTATAAATTTTATACTTGTATTAATAATTTTAGTAAAATAAATATTAATTTTCTAATTGTGTTTGTATTTTTAATTATATATTAGCAAAAAATATTGTTTGTTAGAAATTAATTTGCATTAATAATACAATTAATAAATTAGTATTTGAAAAACATAAAAGTTTGTCTATTAATTTAAGTGAATTGAATGTTGTTTTCATCAAATAATTTTTATACTCGTTTTCGTGTTAAAAATCTATAAATAAAATTTTCTGAATTTTTACAAATGGCGTAAAATTTTCTATGTTTAACTGATACAATTGTGTTTATAAAATTAAATAATGTTGCAAAAAATTAATTGTTGCAATAAATTTATACATTGTATCTAAATATAAAATGTTGCTATATAAAATTTGTTGCGAAAAATATATTTTTGCAATATACAGTGCAACTTCGTTATAATGAATTTTTTGTAAATTTGCAATATATTTGAGTTTTAATCGATTTTCTGGCCAAAAATCGCATTAAATCTTGTTTTAATGTCAGATATTGAAAGAATAGTATATTATTTAATTTTTTTGCCATTATTTTTGGTATAAATGTTTAAATACATACTACAATCTGTGTATATTCACATTGATATAATATATATATTATTTGTTTTTTAATCTTTAATCGATTTTCTGGCCAGAAATCGGTATAAATAATATTGTATTTAATTGTGATTAATATATTTAATAACTGTTTTATTGTTTACAATAATATAAATTACTATAAGTTTAATAAATTAACTTTTATTCATGTATTATCAATGTTTTACAATATATGAAAGTTTTATACTGTATGTTTGAAATCGATTTTCTGGCCAAAAATCTATGTAAATATTATTGTATTTAATGTTATTAATAAATTCAATAATTGTTTTATTGTTTACAATAATATTAATTATTATAAGTTTAATAATTAAACTTTAATTCATGTATTATCAATGTTTTTCAATATATGAAAGTTTTATACTGTATGTTTTAAATAGATTTTCTGGCTAAAAATCTATGTAAATATTATTGTATTTAATGTTATTAATAAATTCAATAATTGTTTTATTGTTTACAATAATATTAATTTTTATAAGTTTAATAATTAAACTTTAATTCATGTATTATCAATGTTTTTCAATATATGAAAGTTTTATACTGTATGTTTGGAATCGATTTTCTGGCCAAAAATTGAAATAACCATTATTGTATTTGGTTGTTATTATTATATTAATATAGTATTTTTATTTATAATTTAATATTATTGTTATACTTTGGTAGATAAATTTAAATCCGCATATTATAAATATTTAAAATTGTATTTTATGTCTGTGATGTCAGTATTTTACAATTATCTGTATAATGATTGTGGTATTAAATTGAATTTTTAGAAAATTATTAAATCAAAATGTGAATAATTATTAGTAACTTTCATTTAAATCTTAATTACATTATATTATTTTGAATTAATTTATTATATTTTAATGTTGAATGTATATTTTTAGATACAGATTTAAAAGTAAATTTGGATTTTGGTGGAATGTTGCCAACCCGTGGTACACCAAATAGTGCTGGATTAGATTTATATTCAGCAACTGAAGGAATAATAAAACCTAATTCAAGAAAATTAATATCAACTGCAATTGCTATCACATTGCCAAATGGAACTTATGGTAGAATTGCTGCAAGAAGTGGACTGTCTCTTAAAGGAATTGATGTTGGGGCTGGAGTTATTGATAATGATTATACTGGATTAATATGTGTTTTATTGATAAATAATGGGAACAATAATTATGAATACAATATTGGTGACAAAATTGCACAACTTATCATTCAACCATATATTCATATTATTCCAGTTATTGTCAATCATTTGAACCAGACTATACGTGGAAATCATGGGTTTGGTTCAACTGACAGAATACAATAATTTAGTTATTACAACTTTCAATGTTTGATTTTTATTTTGTATTTACCGTAAATTTATAGAAATTAATTCTGTAAAAGGAATTTTTAGAAAATGTGTTTTCAAAACCACAAAAATTAATTTGGTATTAAATGTTAAATTGTATATATAACGATTATAATTCATATATTTTATTTTAGTTCCAGAAATAAAGATTTATCACATATCAGCCATTGGTTCACCATGGTTCAGTCCTGATAATGGAACATTATTTACAAATGATAATTGTTTAATTAATGCATATTTGTATAAATTGTTTGTACCAAAAAATATTATATATAAAATAAATAAATGATTTACAATTATTGAACGTGTTTATTTATTTAACAACATAAACAATCTTTTGTTGAATTTTGAATTAGTTCAAGCAAAAATGGTTTAGTATATGAATATATGTATGTATTTATAAGACTCGAAGTGTTAATAATTGATGTATTTTCATTGGATGAATTTTTGGTTAAAGAGTTGTAATCTATTGTTGCGTTGAATGATATTAAATTGTGAATTGTTATATAACAGCTATCAAGCTCTTGTTTTAAAATATAGTCGAAATATAGTTCATTTCTTTGAATACATTTATCAATTAATGTTCTAACATTTATGCTAAAATAAATAATATTTACAATTGTAATTATATAAATAATATATATTAATAATTTTCTAATAAAATTATAAATGATGTGTATATTAATCATTATTATTTTATATTTTAGCGCAAACGGTTCCAACAATGGGATACGTGTGTCCAGTGATTGGCTGTAATAAACAATTTTATTCACGTCGGCAATTGTTGGGTCATGATCGAATTCAACATCAAAACATTATATTGGCCAATAATATCAGTGGTAAATTTTACTGTAGATATTGTTCTCGTAATTGTGATTGTGTTGCTTCATTACGAAATCATTTACGGTGTTGTTCAAGATTTTCACAACCATTCAAATGTTTTATCTGCAAAAAGAATTATCATTCAAAAGATGTTTGCATTAGACATATTGAAAATGAAATGAAACAAATTGGAAGTGGTCTATTTAATAGATTACCAAAATTACCACAAAATTCTAAATTTAAATTATCACGGTCGGCATTGAACGCTAATGTCCAACAGTATGAATTATTTCC